CGTCAGAGGCCCGGAGTGCAGGGCTTAGGGTTTCGGGTTGTAGTTACGAACGACACTATCACATAATATAGCCGTAAGAGTTTAGGGTTATGAACTGCGCTATCACATAATATAGCTGTTTTTGTTCTATACTATCGTTTTTTAAAACAATGTGTGTTGGCGCTTCTTTTCCGGGACAGCAAGAGCTCCAGGCCTAAAAGGCCTTAAGGGAAATGAACTATGCTATCACATTAACTATAGCTGTAAATATGCTATAGGTTATACTTTCTGTAGGGCAGTTTTCCTGGAAGGACATCGGGTTCCAAAGCACAGGCGATCTGTCTCGGCATTGACAAGCTCTTTCCCAAAGACAAACCCACATCGCGCTTGGTCTTATCCGCCTTCTGTGCAAGTGTGTCAGGGTTCGGCCATCGCTGCGAGCCTTGCAGGATGCAGCATGAAGGGGTGCTCGGGTTGAGCCCAGGCTCGGGGAATGAGGTGTCGAGGCGAGCTTTATAAGGGTACAATAAGGGCATTATAGCTTGGGTCCATCCTGATCGCCTCCCAGAGCCACGTCTAAGAGCCTAAGATACCCAAAGACGAAAAAGGCGGGCTCGGACTGTTTGGCCGAGTTGCTGAGCTTGGACCACACCTGGAGTCGATCCGGAAGCCTGCGGCGAGTGTACACGAAAAGCAGCTGGGCAAGGGACGGACGTTGGGAAAGTCTAAAAATTGGAAGCGGAAGGGGCCCTTGATCGTGCAAAGGAAGTCTGATCCCAAAATCACCTCATTGAATGATCGTCGACGTCGTGGTCAACATCGTCCCTACTATCTTCATCATCACCGCAGACAGGTCCATCCATCCATCCATCCATCCATCGATCCATCCATCCACCCATGCGCATGTGCATCCACACGTACATATATACATACGTGCATAATACTTACATACATAGAACCCATCGGACCGTCGAGCATCAACAAGATTTTGTCCAACTGCGAACGTTGCGACAGCGCGCTCGCACGTCGAAAGACACAAGGAACGCCCTGAAGTACCCGGATGCATGGAAATCCCATATCCAGATGCAAGTGATCCCTCGAACACCGCCTGAACTGATGCTAGTGAAAGTCCCGAAAAGCAACAGCTCGAAGTACCACAGCTCTCAGATGAGCCGAAGAACCAACCACGAAAAGTCCACCGGCCTCAGCCCTGCAACCAGAACCTATAGCAAGTGACCCTGGACTAGCAAGTATGTACGTATGCTTATGTACGTAAGTGTCTTTGTACGTATACAAGTTGCTGTTTCACATTTTCTTGTGAGCGGTATCTTGGCTTGCTCCTAAGTATGATTCCCGAGAATACGAGTCTAGCGGCCCGGATGTGGGCGGCGCGAAGCCGGAGGATAAGAGCACGGTCACCTAAGGGCAGATTTTCAGTTTTGGGGGTCTTGGATCGATCTACAACTGGGAGGGCTGGAAAGCAAAATTGATTCTTCTGTCGTTGTGACAGCATGTGCGGGAACACTGGGTTCGTGAGTTCGGCTCTGGACATCGAACTCAAAGCTGCAGACTCAAGTGCTTCGAATGAAAGATCGCCAGCCTGCTGTTGGCCATGGCCAAGCAAATCACGAAAGAGCTGGCGAGTCAGAGAGTGGAGTAGAATGAAGCGACATCCGCATCCCACACCATCGGGTGATTCGTAGATATTCGTAGGGTAGGAGCATGCAGGTTGCGCATCACCAAGTTCAAGAGACTCATCTTGTGGCATTCCTGTGAGAAATCAAGCAGTTGAGTTAGTCAGTCTTAGCAGCTAGCCCTCGCCCGGCCCCGGAACCTGCACATCAAGCATCGCCAATGACCTAGAGACTTCGCACACCCACATTTCGCGCCCTGGGCTGTTTGTCTAGCCTCGACAACCAGACCCTCTGGATTTTCAACCGAGGTGCTTCGAAAGAGCCCAGGCGCGGGTAGCGCACCTTGCGTGCAGACCGACAAGTCCGAGAGCTTTATTCTACAAGGATGAAAGAGCGGAATGCACTAACTTGTAAAGAGGTGGGAACTACTTTGGCAAATATTCTCGCAAAGGCCGGATGGAGCGCATTTTACAGTTGACACCAAGGATTCACCAAGCCAAGCGGCATTCATGAATTTAAGCCAACCAAAGCTGTGTACAGTAGTAGGTGGTTACTTACGACTGGTATGATTGTCTTTGAACTTAGGGAGCAAGCCATCCCTCTGCAACGACTCCTGTTGATGCATACGAGTCAGGGAAGGTCTCGGTTGCCCGCAAGACCTAGGACCCTCACATCCAGCCAAACCCCTAAACCCCCAGGCGGAAGCTTGCATCAATCATGAACTCCGGTGCTCACACCAAAGCTGCTCCTTGAACTCTGCACTGAAAGGCAACCCGCGACCTTCTCCCCCTTGATGCTCGTGAACCAGCCGCGGCAATTCCAGAAGGGTGCGAACCCTTTCGGTGGCCCCGGATTCCTCACAAAGTCTCAACAGCAGGAAAACTCAGGCGAAGTTCGGTTTCTGTCAGAGCCGATCTTCGTACATGTGAGCATAAGAAGCAAATACAAAAGCGCAGGCCTCTTCAAGCGATAGAACCGTTACGCTTGTACCATCTCTACCACCACTAAACCTTCCTTTCTGGGCTCTCGAGGTATCATCATGATGTGGGCCTGGGTGGTTGACCTAAGAGGTACAGCACAGGTACAGGGAGGGTTAGGACGAGGGTCTTGGGAGTTCCCGGACCTCAAAACCAGGGCTAGGAATAGAGGGGTGTGGCAGATCTGCACCGAGGACTTGGCGAACACATTGATGGCACTGGCAGAATGCAGGGCTGGTGGATTAATCCCAAAGCATGACCCACGCAAAGCATGCACAACTCATGCTGCATGCATGGAGTCCAGGCAGTTTTTGTGCTCAAATGCCGGAGCTCTTGGGCTGCACCCGACTTGCTCTTTGGAGCTTCAGCCCAAGCATCGTTACGACACGGTGGGAGATGTTCTCGTTTGTGAGGTGGACGTTCATCATAGCCTCAACCTCAATCAACAGTTCGTCGATCGGTTGGAGGCTCAAGACCGACATGTATGCTGAGTCCACTGTTACGGTGCTAACTCTGTGCCGCCGACTCGGGCCTCTAGATTGCGAGATGTTGAATGCTCCTGCAACTCGACCTAGCTATGCATGTGTCTTTGATCAACACCGAAAAGAATACTTGCAATCAGAAGGGCGGAGCCTGGGTCTTTCAGAGGGATTCTCTTACGCATGTGTAATACCGGAAGCAGGGCGATAATGCCCTCATCTGCAAACACCTGGCATACGATAGAGATCGGAGTATTTAGCAATGAGCGATACTTTTCCCTAGAGTATAGTATGTGCGGCACCTTAGCCCGGATTTAGCCCCTACCTTGCTCACGGCAGAACCTACACACCGCCAATGCTGCACCGATCAGAAAGTCATGGAACCCTCAACCCCGAAAAGAGACCCGTCTCTGAGCTGGCTCCGTTTCATTCGGGCTGCCCCAGCCACAAGACAGGTCGGTAAAAACATCTGTGCTTATGCCAAGGCTACATGTTTGCGTGCACCGATTTCGGAGCTAGTTCGTCGGCGTCTAACCAGGATTCCTGCAAAAAAGAAGGGTGGGCTGGCGACTGAGCAGCGTCCTTGGCATACTTGGTGTATCTCTCCACCTTGTATGTGGTGTGGAACGAGTTCTCATCATGGTGCTCGATCTCTATCCTGCCGGCTGCAGACCGCAAACCAATTCCACATCGAAGGAAGCAGCAACTTGGTTATTATGCTCAAAATAGCAATTTCAGGGCCGACATTCTCTTGCTGCGGGCAGGATGGTAGGCTGAAGCGCTTCACCCAGGAGAAACTCAGCGCCGCAATTTGCAGAAAACTGTCAGCTAGAGTTGCTCTGGATCTTAACAGGACCTCTCTATTGCAGGGACGGAGGCGTAGTGCTTTTTCAGATTCTGGCTTCGGGGTGCAGGAGTCGAGGGCTTCTTCACAAAGTGCCCAGTCCTCACGTCCATCGGCCTCCACGCGAGATGACGCGCACGGCCATGCTACTTCTCAAGTTGTTACCCTGAGAGCCGACAGAAGGCACGTCATCAACACATCGGAAGATACCGGCACAGGGGGGGGGATCATCAAGCATTCTGACATTAAGGATCCTTTCGCATAGGTCAGATTGCCTGCGTTGCAGGCTACTGCTATGAGTTCCGCGTATTGAGACGATATAACATAGGAGACGGGATCGGTTTCGCCTCGGGGCTTTGAAGTCATTCGCTGTATGCGACAGGCATCCGGCTTCCATCTTAGCCCCTCTGCGGTGTTGCATGCTGGACCGCAAAACCACACAAATAGATATGCAACTCGAGCCACCACCAACAACACTCGAAGGAAGCACCATCTTCAAAGTATAAGCTGTCCTTCTTGGGGTCTACGGTGCTCAAACAAGGTAATGAAACCAGGAACACTAAACACAAGGAAGAACGGCCGAACAGCTCGGGCTTGTATTAGTACGACCTCATGACATAAAACCATTATTCAGCTCTGCAATGGATTTGAGCATGGGCTTGAGCCGCCCACACCCTCTGCTCGCTCCTAATCTGTTACTTTTTGTGTATATATATATATATATATCTATACATACACACGCACACATACATGCATTCATACACATGTGTATATACAGATGTGTTTACAGATAGGCTATTATACATATGCACAGTCTTAAGTATTACTAGTACATAAAACAAGCAAACGAATGAACAAAGAACAAAATGATGAACAATCATGTGTGAATAAACCAACAAACAAACAACGTGTTTAGATGGTTAATTAAACAGTATAAGTGTATATAATATATAAACAAAATATATGCATATAGATTTATGCATATTGTACGTGTATATATATATATTTATATTTATGTGCTTTCTTATTCGCATATGTATAAGCTGCCCTCGGAGCTGGGGCAGATGGAACTCAGAAGGGCGTTCTCCTCTGGAACTTCCCGCGCGACTGGTATCTCAGATCGCGCCTGCACGGGGATGCTGCACAAGTGCAAGCTGTAGAAATGGACCGACAACAAACGCCAATGCTTTTCATACCACAAGGCTGCACTCTGCAGTGCTTAAGTCTTATTTTGTTGATGCAAGCTTGGACCCTTACATTCGTCGCGGCATGACGAAAATCCCAACCACTCATGAATTGCCGCCATTACAAATCATGCGTCCCCTCAAGCACAGTTTGCAGGCACATCAAACTAGCTTTGCCGTCGGCAACATGTCCTATCTAGAGTCACTCTCCCAGTCTATGCGAACCTTCAGGCAGAAGAGTGCAAACCCATATCTGTCAGGACAATTGCCGAGACGCGAGCTTGATAGTTTTGCAAATCGTGCGTGGATTAGTAGCTTCTTAAGTACGCTCGGCCACCTAGATGCCGTAGATCTTGCCAGCCACCTAGAAGGCGTCTGCGAAAACAGTTGTTGGACAAACCACCAGCATGCAATGTGGTGTCCGTAACTTCTATGCGCATACAATGTGCGTGAGATCAGCCCAACCAACGTCTTGCATCCATAATCGTGGGCCCGTCTCGGCACTCCCGGGACCTTGAGGGCATAGTGAGCGTTCTGCCTCAACAAACAGGGGGAGGGGGGAGGGGGTGCATTGCAAATGATGGTAGTGATGACCATGGCATCTCCTGCCTTAAGCTGCAGGTTGAAAGCCAGCCTGATCCTTAGAGAGTCCCGGAGTATGACCCAGGGTCGACCGAACGTGACGATCTAAAGCAGCGCAAATCCCGATAACAATGGAAGCTAGGAGATCTCGTCTGTCTGTAGCGGGACGTGCAGCGCTACTCAAGCTGGAGTAGGACAAAGCATCAGACTGTTGCTGGCTGTAAAAGTAAAAGTAATGTAGATGCAAGTCTATGCATGTTGGAGGATTGTCGGCACTTGGGCATCCCTCTGTTCCTGCACGAAAGCTATGAAAGCTTCCGGCTACTGTTTGTCAGGACATACCACAGGGCTCATCTGTCACCCTCAACAAAATATGCAAATTCCTTACTGCTCGTATTGTATCTACAAGCTTAGGCTTGCGATGAGCAGTGAGTTCAACATAGAAAAGCAACCGTGCAGCCATAAAGAGCTCTCCACATCCTTTATTCCACGCCTCCGATGCCACAAAACTGAAAACATCATAAATTACCTGCCTCTCCAACCCTCTTAGCCCAATGACAGCCATCTCTCTGTTCTGAAAGATGCGGCTCGCAGCCTCAAGTACTCTTTGGACTGCTGTGGCCTTGGGATGTTCGGAAATGCTGCTGGCGGGCCTACTTGCACGCTGAATAAGGGTTTAGCTCTTCGGGCTGCTTGCGCTTTGCGGATTATGACTCGTACACTTCATACTGGCAGCATTGGGGGACACATCTTATCTATCTATAAAAAAAGATTGTTCGCAGGCAGACTCGGATTTTCAACTGATAAGAATTAGACGCGCGCGGAAGCGTCGTCCGTCGGCCACAATTCTTCTTGTAGTTCTCGAGGATGGCAGGGTTGAACACTGAAGGCGGATCCCTGAAGCTGAAAAGATTTAAGGCTCCGCAGGTTCTCAGACTCTCTACGGTTCTTCAAGGCTCCGGGGATGCAGGCTTAAGGTGTACAGGTAGTGGGAAACGCAAGGTAGCTTCGAGTGCGGCGACGCTGACGAGTCGTGTCTCATGGTGAACACACACACACACACACACACACACACACACACACACACACACACACACACACACACACACACACACACACACGCACACACAACGTAGCGTCACAACAGACATGACGTCTTAAAGTACTCTGGCCAATCATGAGCTCTATAAGTTATATAAGTCCTCGAAGATGGCGACGCAATCAAGCAACGCAAAACAACCTCGAGAACATGCACACCCTAATGTTGAAACCCGAACTCTGGTGGGGCTCAGGGCCCTTCCACGAAATGATTGGTTTACTCTGCAGCATACGGTGGAGTCCGAGGGTCTGAAGGAATGAAAGATCCTGCAGCTGTCCTTTACTCAAGAGAATTGGCGCAACATGCGGGGCATGTCACATCTGTCCATGGTTGTTCATGTAGAACCGGTTGCGGTTAAGACAAGATTGTCGGAACCAGGGCTTCAGTCAAATTGAGCATGGACCGAAAAACTCTGCAATGCGTGCCTGCACTCTGTCGCTTGCTTGCTTGCTAAGCCCCTGACACATCAATAACACACTACAGCGGCATGTCGGGAGTTGGTATGTTGCGTTGCAAAATTTCAGTGGTAGATAAGGCGTCTGCCTCCCATGAGGTCTTGAGCCAGTCCCCAAGATTATCCAACCGATGTGGCTGTAAGCTTTGCGACCGTTGGCTGCAGTCTTTCTTCAACAGAACCCACTTTCACAAAGCAGTGATACAGTGTCCATAGACTAACCTCTGGGGACGCTGCTGGCGCGGATCCGCATTCTCCACTAACCAACTCACGGCAGAGTCCACAGACGTCACGCCCTCAGAGCTGGCTCCACAAGGCAGCAGCTCAGATCTTGGAATGAAAAGCCCAAAGGGTCCTATGTGTACTGGTATGGGGGATACTTCCCTAAGTCATAAAAGTAAGTCCTAATATGGAAACCCTACATTCGACTATATCGGTACATACGGGAAGATCTGCCAGCAGCATCACCTGCGAAGGCCCTCGTGAGCCATAAGTCTCGAGGCACTGCAACATCCTGAGGCTTCTTCGCAATGTAAACATCGCACTTTCAAAGTTCTGCCGTCTCACAGAGACCCAGCTTCAGGCATCTGGAATTAATCTACTGTTGACATACTCAACTCACACAGAAAAACGATGGTCCCGTGGACACGCAGAAGAAGGACTAGCAAGATCAAGTCTGGGCTCATGGAAAAACCTCCGCAACAATTGCATGATATTCGGCCCTTTTAATAAGTGGGATAGGGTTTTGGAATCTATGACAGTAGATAATAGTATAAATTTATCGGAAAGCCTTACGAGTGACATATAAAATAATAGACATAGAGTTGTTGAATTAATCTGGGGCTCAACCTCAAAGGTTAATTTGAGCGATGAAGCTTGTTCGCGACAGGAACCGGGACGAATGTACGTCTCTAACCTTTGCTTACCGCAGCACAGGGCAGCCTACAGACTCGACGTGAGCAACCTGTGTGAATCCGGTAGCAGGTAGCAAATGGGACAATATGGGACAATGCCACCCAAGCGAACATCAATTCTGTTTCAACCAATCTGGCTCCCAGGAGCACGCGACTCTTGTTGCAACACAGGTGACGATCACTAGAGGCCAATGAGGCCAAGGGCCCCTGCTGTTTTGTGCTGACCATTCTACCGCGCAGTACGCAAATGCACCCCAGGAGCGACCCTTCAGGAGCAGTAAAAGTCGGCGGCAAACCGAATGGCACCACTTATGCTCCTACAAGCCCGGTTCCCAAAACTCAGCACCGGGTCTGGGCGCCCAGCTGAAGCTCCATCTTGGATTTGCAGATTCAGGCTTGGGAGCTTGGGGTTGGCTAAGTAGTATCTGACCTTGAGCTTGGACACTCTAAGGCGACGGGGTTGCTAGCACGCCTTACTGATTGCAACAGTCGGAAAACGGCATGTATAAAGTCGAGAGGGGTCTGTACAAGAACTTTACCACTACCAGCTTCGCCTGCAAAGTTCAGTTCACAGAATCGCGGACAGGAACGCCTCACACCTGCAAACAAAGCTCTCTCTCCCTTTCCCTCTCTCACTCTCACTCTCCCTCTCTCACTCTCCCTCTCTCCCTCTCTCATCCTCTCTCCCTCTCTCCCTCTCTCCCCCTCTCCCTCTCCCCCCCTCCCTCTCTCTATCTCTATCCCTCTCTCTCTCTATCCCTCTCTCTCTCTCTCTTTCTCTCTCTCTTTCTCTCTCTCTCTCTCTCTCTCTCTCTCTCTCTCTCTCTCTCTCTCTCTCTCTCTCTCTCTCTCTCTCTCTCTCTCTCTCTCTCTCTCTCTCTCTCTCTCTCTCTCTCTCTCTCTCTCTCTCTCTCTCTCTCTCTCTCTCTCTCTCTCTCTCTCTCTCTCTCTCTCTCTCTCCCTCCCTCACTCACTCACTCACTCATTCACTGCCTACCGCCTCTCTCACGTCACTCATTCTATTCTTTCAGTCACACACACACACACCTATATTATATGTATGTATAAATACATATATGTATGTATATATGTATGTATATATATATATATGTATGTATGTATACGCATGCCTGTGTATATATATATATATATATATATGGGTATGTTTGTATGTATGCATGTAATGAAGTAGGTATTGTGTATTGATGTAGACATATGGTTGCAATTTTTATCTGTATAAATGCACACGTACGTACACAAACACATGCACTCTAACCCACGCCATCAACAGTTTGCAAGTCCGAAATTTGCGGCAGCTTCTGCTGGCATTGATTGCATTGGCTTAGGGTTTAGGGTTGGTTTCGGTGTTTGCTGCGAAAAAAGCGAGTCAAGCGGCTGAGAAGAGAATTGGCGCGCATGGCAGCTCGTGCTCGGCTAGGGGTAACAGCAGCGAGCGCCAGGACCTGCAACTGAAGCCATGGCATTGGAGTTTTTGGTCGTTATTACGGGAGGATTCGCCCAGCCGAGCTGTACCGTACTGGACCGCTGGGAACTTACTTAGTCTCTGACGGGTAGCTGTGGGGCAGTCTGAGTGGCTACGGGTGTTTATAGCGGGAAAAACAGCTGAAACAGAAGTAGAGATCGAAATATGAAAAAAATGCCGCTCAAGAGTAATTAGACGATATCATGGACATGATGGTGGTTCCCGATGAGCGCAAGACTCACGCAGTTTTCATGATAAGAAAGTGTCCTAGTTCCCAGACAACAGTCGGCATTGAGACCCTGCTGTCTGCAGCTGCGTGTTCGATGCTGAAAGGTTCGCCTTCTCGGACCCAAGCAAGTCCTCTAATAAAGCGGCTTCAAAGCCAAAGTCTCGATGTGCCTTTTGCCATGCAGTGCATCCGATGCTCTGACGGTGTGGAGCGCAGCTCCTCCCTTGCGTGCATACCCGAGCCCGCAGCCTGCCAGAAAAGCAGGACCTCAACACAGGCAGAGCAAGAGTAATTAAATTTTCCGAGCTACCAACATCCCCATGTCTTAAGTCTTAAGAGCCCCTTTTCCTCCCTGGTCTGATGAAGTCTTGGAGCCGATCCAGCTGCCCTGCTGTGGCTCCGGCTGAGATGTTTCTTCTTGGGAGCGATCGCGTGGGCACGCGGCCCATGATCCACCCAGCCATGGAAAGAAGCCTCAGACACACTGTCATTGTGGATCCCGGCATGCTTTTTTTCAGGAGCATCTCGAAGTCTCTCTGGAGAAGTATGTATGGGCCGAACTGCGCCAAAGCCCGGCCAAAGCTGGCTTGCCTCCCGAGCGCCGTGCTTGATGACCGAGAGGGCAGAGCACCGTCGGAGCGCCTCAGATGCAGCTCTTCTGAGCTCAATGTGTATGTAGCCGGGAGCCAAGAACGGGAAGGTAGAGGCTGCGGCCTACACTTTTTCAGCTTAAGGCTCTAGAAAAAATATCTGGGTTTCTTGCAGCTTGCACCCACGACACCGCAGAGAGCACCAGCCCGACTACACAGCCAAGGATGACAGGATAACCACCCCAAAGCATTTAAACAACTCCGGAACCATGATAGCCCCAATGGCCAGCAACTCCTTTCCCATGCAGCACACTAAATGTATGGTGCGGCGTGTTCGAAGCGGTGCGGCCTTTGTATCAATGTATCCCACACTCCGGCACAGAACGGGATCGGGAAGTCGTGCCCGAAATGCTTGAAAGTCGAAGTTGTGCTAATTAATCAACATACCCAATGCCAAGTCGGCAACTGTTGGTTTCGCAAGCCTCCTATAAGCAGCCAGCCCTTCTTCAGATGAGGTCGCATGGTTTGGAGATTGGGTTTGTCTGCGGCACTCTCAGCTTAACCCTGACCCACAAAGATTGCCAACCGCATTGGCTAGGACATCTAGGACCCTAAGCTGCCTTATTGCCAGAAAGTTTAAACAAGACTTAGCACTGAACCTAAGCCCCAATAAACCCTAAACCTTTTGAACCCTAAACCCTATAAACCCTAGCCCGAAATCCTAAACCCTATAAACCCTAAACCCCCATTAGCCCTGAGCCCCGGGCCTTAGGAGGTTTCGACCTCCATGGCGGCACCAGGCTCCCGGCCCGCTGCGAGCAGAAAAAAGCAATTTCAAGGAATGTCGACCCAGGTTTTAGGCTTTAGGGCTGAAAGGTTTTTTTGGGGTTTAGGGTTTTGGTATGTTAGGTTTTTAGGGTTCTCGGATTTAGGGTTTTAGGGTGGTTTTTGGGTTTTCAGGGTGCTCGAGATCGTTCAAGTGACCTCCTGATTAGTAATGGCCCCGTCAAGAGAGCTAAACTCGGCCTGCACATAATACTGAACTATACCCCTCAATAGTGCTAAATTCATGTACAGCCTTTGTTTTTCCAAACAAGGAGGCCCAAAGAACAAGTTTCCAAGATCCCAGAAGAAGCCCAGAAGAGGTCAAGAAGAACCAGAAGAGGCCCAGAAGAGACCCCCCCAAACAACTTAGACCCCGCCCCGCACAAACGACCTTGGCCCAAAGATAATGTGGGGGCGCCAAAATGCATAACCACCATTGCGCATTGAAGTTGCTCGGGGGACGGGCGGGTTGACTGATCAGGAGACTTACCAAACCGTTGCAAACCGTAAACCGCACGATAGGGCGTCGGAGCTACGTACGACTGTTGTGGGGTTTATAAGGCTGTCGATACGGGGTTTCTTATCTGTACACTACGGAGATAGCTGATTTAGAGCTTTTGCCATGGTTTCGGCGCTCACACAATCCAAACGAGGCATGTCGTCTCAAGTCAGCTAGGTGATTGGCGGATTTTAGGAGTTACGGTTCTGCACAGCGAGAGGTTCTAAGGACTGGTGGTTTCGGGGGGGTTGTGCCTTTTTGTTTGCCTCCCAGACATCTTGGGAGTTGGGTTCAAGGGGTTTTGGACTGTCGCAACTTGGACTCTGCAGGCGAGGCCGTGGGGAGTCGTGGTTTCGATTAGTTAAGGCTTGCTACGTCGACTTGTTGCTTCGGGGCTCAGGGTTCTTGAATTGAGTTGGTATCAAGCAAGCCATCCGTTCATTCCTTTCTAAATGCTTGCCAGGAGCCAAATGAAAGGGAGAGACAGAGAGAGAGAGAGAGAGACAGACAGACGGCCAGCCGGCAGGCAGGCAGGCTGACAGAGAGAGAGAGAGAGAGAGAGAGAGAGAGAGAGAGGGAGAGAGAGGGAGGGAGAGGGAGAGGGAGAAGGGAGAGGGAGAGGAGAGGGAGAGGGAGAGGGAGAGGGAGAGGGAGGAGGGAGAGGGAGAGAGAGAGGGAGAGCGAGAGGGAGAGCGAGAGCGAGAGGGAGAGGGAGAGGGAGCGAGGGAGCGAGGGAGCGAGGGAGCGAGGGAGCGAGGGAGCGAGGGAGCGAGGGAGCGAGGGAGAGAGGGAGAGAGGGAGAGAGGGAGAGAAAAAGAGACAAAGTGAGAGGCAGCTGAAATGGATTTGCACTAGGGACGCTCAGACAGCAAGTAAAGGCCAGAATATGTGGCGAATTGTTCTCGAAGTTGCCTCAAAATGATTTGCCCTTTGCGTCTTGGCTGCCTTTAGGCAGATTTGGCATTGCATGTCCATCACAAGTCCGTCCGGGTTTGAGGCGTTTAGGCTCTAGAGATGTCTTGAGCTTATAGGATTTAGGGTTTCGAGGTAAGGGTTTGAGGGGATACGCATTTTATAGGTACATGCATCAGATGGGATAAGGGACATGGCAATCCGGAGTGAATTCTGTCCATGCAGCGACGATATGCACTCCTACTGCTTCGCAGGCAGGGGCTTCACCAACATATCTGCTGGTACGAACTAAGCACCGAATTAAAGTCCAACGGAACGTCCGCACAACGTTCCCGTCGGCCATCCCCACTTGCACATAGCCGCAAGTAGCACTCCCAACGAAAAGCAGCAACTGCTTACAAGCCTAACCTGCACTCGAAGGTAAGCTCAAACCTTACAAACCCTGTAAGCACTATAGAAGCCCTGGTCCCGAACCTTCAGGCACCACGGGGCCGCAACTCTACGTCGGGCACTGGGGAAGGAAAGTCCAAAGAGTTGCGATTCCAGGCAGCTCTGTCAGCTGCGTAGATTCTTCTACATGCTTTTGGATTACATGCAAGGCCGACGATCAACATGGCATCCTTCGGGCATGTTAACAAGTTGAAAGGCCGTATCTATATAAAACTAGACCTCGAGACTAGGCCTCTCGGTAATTTTCCATGCGCGACGGATCCTGCGGAATGCCCGAAAACACAGATGTCCCATGCCATATCACCTACACTCAATTTAGACGTGGGCCGTTTCTTCGTGATCTGAATTCCTTGTGAAACTTACCTGGTCCTCGTCACTCGGGCATGCTAGTTGCTCCTGCGCCGGAGAGCATCATCAGCCAGCATTCGGCACCCCACTGACAGGAACCCTCCAGTCCCATCTTTCTCTAAAGGGGTTCTCCGAGTCTGCATGCAGAAACGACCGTTTATTCTGGCTGACAAACGCAGAGCAAGTCAGGTTGCAAGTCAATGAAGGATGGTTCTCAAGCTGGCAGAGTAAGCCAGATCCGGAATGCCTGTCGCAAGAAAACAGATTTGCGGGCCCAATCTAGTGGCTAAGGTCCCTTCATCCACTGGCCCTCTTCCACCGCACCAGACATGTATCACCCGCCTTCGAAGTCAGCGCATCTCTCGCAGTGCTGAGCGACTCCTTGGTCAGGGTTTGCCCTGTTGGTCTAGACCCTAAGCCAATGCTAAACCGTATTCCGAAACCTTCGCATCAGGCATGCGCCAACCCTAAACCCTGCCAGGGATTCTGGTGGGGGAATGTCGGCTGGAGCTTCGGATTGGAGGTTCTGACCGAAACTTGAAGCCCAACGCTCAACCTCCAGCACAAGATCATGCGTGTAGGATGAAGTTGAGCAGAGACGGGAAGACCAAGATATCGGAGCTTGGGAGTTCCTCGAGGTCCAGGCTCAAGAACGCGAAGATAAAGTCATAGTTCCACGCAAATGCGGGCTCTGAGCGGAAAAGGTTGGTCTTCTCTGCAAAGCTCAGCTTTATGAACGTGCACAGGACACGCTGCTTGTCACGCCGTCTACCACTACGTGTGGTTGGAGTGTTTTGTGACTAGATTACAACTAGGAAGGCTCAGTAGTAGACTAGCGAGTGGTGGGCCAAAGCTTGTGTGATTCATAAGGGCGGAATGGCTCCACCGATTGTCTCAACCAGCATTATGGCAGGTCAGTCCTACGTATGGCATTCTGGAGGCCTGAACAATTAGAGCACGGTAAAGGGTTGCCTCAAGGAACCCTAAGGAACAATACTGGCAGTGATGCCTCTGCATTACAGCCCTGAAGACCTTGGCCCTCGCACAGATCAGACAAGGTGCCGTCGCACCGACAGAAGACCCAGGACGCCAGAGCCTGTGTTCGCACATAATGATAACCGTGACGGTTTTAATGTTTATACTGGCATCTAAACGACTTGATACAAACCACTTAGTCATAAAACATAACAATGCTAACACTACTCATATGCAATATGCACTTGGTAAAGGTAGCAACGATATTGAGAATAGGACGACGGCGACACCCTACTACTGCTACTGCTACTGCTACTGCTACTGCTACTGCCACTGCCACTACTACTACTACTACTACTACTACTACTACTACTACTACTACTACTACTACTACTACTACTACTACTACTACTACTACTACTTTTTGCAGCAGGCCTCGTTGTCCAGCAGCCCGGTTACAGCAACACCCCCCTTTCCCACTACTACTACTACTACTACTACTACTACTACTACTACTACTACTACTACTACTACTACTACTACTACTACTACTACTACCACTACCACTACCACTACCACTACCACTACCACTACCACTACCACTACTACTACTACCACGACTACGACTACGACTACGACTACGACTACGACTACGAGTACGACTACGACGACGACGACGACGACGACGACGACGACGACGACGACGACGACGACGACTACTACTACTACTACTACTACTACTACTTTTTACTACTACTACTACTACTACTACTACTACTACTACTACTACTACTACTACTACTACTACTAGTACTACTGCTGCTGCTACTACTACTACTACTACTGCTACTACTACTACTACTACTACTACTACTACTGCTACTACTACTCCTACTCCTACTCCTACTCCTACTCGTACTCCTACTTCTACTTTGTACTTCCACGTCGACTTCAACATACTACAAGTACTGCTATTTACCACTAAGAAGTCGTGATTTGCATGAACTGCGATTGCCGGCCGGGAAGTAGCAATGCCAAGAGCACAGCACGAGTGGTCAGACTGAAACTAGGGACTAACAAACCCGCCCAGACCCAGCCTCACCACGCCTGGCTGCACAAGACAGGGTCCAAGCCTAAGCGCACAAACCCAACCGTGAATATGTACACGAACTTCCCCTCAATGAAACCGATACAACCTGAAAAGGACCTGCATGCAGCCACAAGCCCGGTACAGAGTGCCTGGGCTTGCGGGTCCAGATATAGTGGCCATGCGTCCTGGACAGTAGGCTGCTTGCCCAACACCCTGACTGAGTTGAGGGTGTAGGATCGCTGCAACAAGAAACGCACACACGTATATCCCCAAAAACACTGACTGCGACTTGCGGAAGGAATTCTGAGCGCAACAAGACCTCCTACCAATATTTGTGCGGTCTACGCAGTCTACGCATGCGCAGGCTCAGCTGTGCGCTTGACGTCCCGCCCTCCATCTCTCTTTCTTCCTGCATCTACGTGTTCTCTGCGCCTCCTCTTTGCTTTGGCCACAATGTTCTGAATGCAGGATGTCTTCAGCTTGGCCCTTGAAGCCCGAAGCAACTAGACATTCACTGGGTGCAGCACCCCGTGCCGGAGAAATGGGCGGCAGCCGCAGAGGAGAGGCTTTCGTACCCGGGGCTGGGCCTCTGCACATGGAGATCATGCAGTCGAGGCTTCTACCTGTACACAGCGGGTTGGCATCCTCAGCAAGCCCCATTAGCAGTTCAGGACTACAGCTTCGGATTCGGGGTGTAAACTTTAGGGCTGTATGTGAACAGGTGCCTGATGAAGCCGAGCTCCCAACGAGACGCTGAAGCTGCACAAGACAAGCGCGGGCGTACAAGAATTAGGATACCTGCATGCGCCTCCATCTGCGTTTCTGGCTGACCTCGCTGAGGTCAGCAACTTCTCACTGCGAGTAGGATTCCAGCCACCTGCACGCATATGACTTGACGTTCGGGGCTTCCTGTGACCCCGGAGCAGAAGACAAGGACGCAAGTCCGGAAGGATGAAGGTCAGGAGTGCACGAGTCATGGAAGGCTCACAACATGTCATTATCACATCTCTGCGGCTTCATGAGAAGTGCACAGCGTTTCTATTCTCCCAAGAACCGCTGCACCTCTGTAGGAAACTTCGCTGCCGCTTTTTGCCCCCTTGGGCGGTGGCAGGCGCCGCTCCTGGATCCAGGCCAAAATCGTGACCATTCATGGGTTAGGGCTCTTGTATCAGCACGAGAGCTCTTTGGGCCAGCAGAGTCTCACCACATGTGCCCTGCCGGTCATGTCCTTATGCGGCTTGTGCGCTTGCAGGCGCCCCCTGGCACGCGCTTGCACTGGCTCTCTGGAGCGGGCTCAGGGCTCCGAGTGCTCTCTTTCCTCTTGTCGTCTCCGGAGCTCTCGCATCAGCGTCACGGCCCTGGAGCAGAGGTGGCAGCGCAGGTCGTGCAGCCCCTGACCCTGTCGAGCAGAGACCATGATCAGGCGCTGACTCGATCGGGGGATGCTTTGGATGTCCTCGAGAACCAAAGTCGCGACTTTCGCCAGCATCTTGGGAACAACCATGTCGCACTTCGTAAGGATGAAGACCTTCTCGGGCCCCCGGTTGCCGAGGGACGCGTAGAACCTCCAGTCCGTCGGCCGAATCCCTGTTCTGGCGTCCACGAGGCAGTAGAGGACCCGCAAAGACTTCCGACTTTGCACGAAGTCGGCGACCAGCGGCCCGAACTGGGCTCCCTTGGCATAGCCGTAGCCAGGCAGGTCGATCACATCCAAGGGCAGGCGGCTGCACTTGTACCAGTCGATGGAGCGAGTGACGCCAGGATCATCCTTCGCAGGCGCCAGCTGCTGTGTCCGTGTCAGTGAGTTCAAGAGGGAGGACTTGCCGACATTGGAAGCGCCGATGAAGGCCACCTCAGGCCGCTCAGGCAAAGGAGCGGAAGAGGTGTGGCCGCCCGGATGGCACCGGGCCCGCTGCCTCAGGAAGCCCTTGTGTACGGCCGTGGCCATGCGTCCCAAGGTGTCGCCTCTGCCATCATCGACGGCTCCTCTTCGGCCGTCGTGTGCTGGATCCGAGCCCGCAAAGATTGCCGGGCGGTGCTCCCCGCGCTTTAGCTTTGGGAGCTTCACATTTCCCAACTGATGCAAAGCGATGAACTCCTTGATGGCCTTCGGAGGCTCTGCTTGGGCTCTCCTCATGCGGAAGAATCCTGGCAGCGGAATGGCCTCGAGAGATCCGGCGCTGGCAGCAGGGTCTGCAGACCAGCCGGCTTCATCCCAACCACCCCAATCCTCCGCTGCCAAGCGAGCCTTCTCCAAAACGTTGGTGCCCGGGTTGTTCCAATCCAAGGGCTCCTCCATCTCACTCGTGCGAAGACCACGGCGAAGGTTTGTGCTGGAGGACTGCTCCTCCGCTGACGCGAAGATCGGGGCCTTGCCGCTCGGCACCTCGGTGCCCTCGGTGCCATCTGCCTCAGCATCTGGCACTTCCTCCAGTCCCTGGAGCCAGCGACGACGTCGCTCTCGCTTCTCCTCTCTCTTGCGGAAGGTGCTAATGGAGGCTCGCCTGCAAGGCCTGCATCTCCACGAGGCTGCTGCCGCCGCGGTGAAGCCTACGAGCCATGCGCTCCCTTTCCATGCCGTCGCGGCGCGGCGGCCGTCGCGGCGCCCTGCTCGCCCCATTGTGGGCACCGTCACCGCCGTCACCTCGGCGTGCGGAATCGCAGCCGTGTGCCTGGAGAGTGGCGCGTGTGGGCGTTCCAATGCTACCCATGGCCCCACCCTCTGCCAGGGCACGTCCATGGCTCGATCCCGGCACTTGACAAGCTCACTGTCAAGGGTTTAGGGTTCCCCAAAGTGAGGGATCTCATATCACCACATCGGAAGGGGTCCTCGAAAAAACCTGGGAAATATCTGTTTGCCTAAGATTGCATTGAGTTCAGCGCCTCCTCCCATTGAGCTCGAACCCAAAATCAAACTCCGAACCCGAGGATGCTCAACCCCAGGAACTCCACTGGCTTGGATCCTCCCATACTTGTCCGGTATCCTCGGGAAACTAAAGGCTAGCCTTTTTGGAGGTTTTTAAATGGGAGTTTCCGAAAATTAGGGGTACCGTATTTTGGGGCCTTATAATAAGGATCCTAGTATTTAGGGTACTATATTATAGGGTCCCCTATTTTCGGAAACCCCCAGATGATTAATTACCCCAAACAAGTCTGAGGTCACCTGCTAGGTCCTTCATGGCATAGGCCGGAAGCATGGCCATCAGCGAGACGTGGCGGCACTCAGGAAAAGCCCTGCGCATGGGTAATTCTCTAAATTAAGGTCTCTTTTAGGGAAGGGTAGAGAACTACTCACATGCTGCTGAAGTCGGATCATGGTAACGAACCACAATCCGAATTCAAAGTCGCGAACCCATGTTCAATTCAGTTGTTTGTCTGGGGTATCCTGGATTCGATCTTCCGACACTATTAAGGCGCGGCCTCCGGCCCCCGGGGCCCGTGATGATGGGTTAAGGCTTCGAAGGCGTTTTGTGGCCGTATCTGCTAAGACCCGTATCTCGCTGAGGCCTTTGGCCCACTTCTCTCCGAGAAAAACTGCAAAAGGTTGTAAACTTAGTCGATGAACAAAACCCATGCCGACACGTTTGTTACAAATGCAAGCTCTTCAATAGCCGCATACCAATTTGAAATGACAGGTCACATCCGCAGCCCTCAACATGCGCAATAATATAGACGTGGTCTTGTGCTCAAAACTCGGGTTTGCCGAAATGATGCATTCAAGTGTCAAGGTGTCCGCAGGCTCCATGTCCACCACATGGCTGGTGCGGAGCTCCTCAGTAACTTCTGGCTTTGGACTTGCGGGATTGGAAATAAAGACCAGAAGCCAGGAAGAAATGAAGAACACATGCAGCGGTTCAGACGGCTGAGGCATTACAGAACAACAAACCAACGACCACCGGCATATGAGGACCACTACCAAGTACCCTTTGGACCGAAAAAACCCCAAAGAAGTGAACCCAACAAACAACCTCATCAACAGAACCTAGTAAAGGTCCGGAAATGCACGGAAAAACCGATCAAAATATTCCCGATCTCTATAGGAACCTCCCTGAATGAACTACTGGCACGCCCGATCCCAAATGCCGGCAAAAAGGCACCCGAATCGTTAGAACAGGGGTTGAGAGGCTCATCATATCATACGACCGTGATATACCGTGATATGAAGGACTATAAGGGAGAGTGCCACTAGTTGTTCAAACCCCCCCTTGTAGGCTCGTTCTCCTGACTTGCGAACAGCAGAGACGCCTGGAGGCCTTAGCCTGGGAATCTTCGGCTGTCCACCAGGATTGCCGTTCACGCTACCAGTACAAAGGAGGGACCCTTAATGAGGACCCCTACCCTACAATGGGCTATATAATGGGTATATAATGGCTATATTAAGGGTATATACTTAGTATCCTTACGATGATGATTCCTCGTTTGCTGCTTCTTCTTTTTGAACCAAGGCTTTTTGTTACCATAACTGTTGTTCCTCCAACTCCAACTTAGGAAGGACGAAGCCCGCATGCCCGGCTAACTATCATTAGAAAGGTAGTTGAGGCCTTCTCGCCCCGCATGGGGAAAACCTGGTTTCATTCCAAAGCCCTGAGCCCCCCTTTCTCCCCTGCACCTAAGCACGGAGTCCTTGACGTGCTCGCAGGCTTTCATCCCAAGGTCGGCGAAAGCCGGGCTGTGGTCAAAACCCAGCAGATCCTGACCAAATCGGTTTGGTCGGCCAGGCTTAGAACCACAGACCATACGCAACCGCGCAGCGAGTCCTAAACGACTTCATCCCAAAGCTTCGGAGGAAGACTATCCATAAGGAATTATAAATCGCAGCATAAGCAAGGCAGTTCACCGGCTGGGATTTCTGAGAGTTAGGATCTCCTGTCAAGGGGGTGACCTGCTACAGTGACATTTCGCCTGCTCCTGTTGACGAGTAGGATCCAGCCCGGCATTTGAAGTCATCCATAACTTGCATTCGAAGTCTGTCTGGAGTACTTGGACCAAGTACGGTCCCGAAAAACACGCCAGCGGATTCATGAAGGAATTCTACCAAACCTTCCTCCAAGGAGTTGCTTGGAGGGACTACTCCTTGCGGCAAACTAGCCACCTGTTACAGTGCCTACAACGGACCTCTTACTCAGACTCGAACTACACTTCCTTTGCAGTCGGCCCCCTAAACCCTACACCCTTTTTGCATCCAGGACTCTTGCAATCAGCCGTACACCCTGAACCCCTAAACCGTCGGCCCCCGCAGCAAGAAGACCTGGAAATCGGACAGGATCATCGGGCCTCAGGCCTAAAACCCAAACCCGAAACTCCGAAACACCCAACAGGACGGAACGTGAGGACCCTAAATGGTTTCTAGGATCCCGATGATAACGATCTCTTCGTTCTACTATAACTATTACTATCACTATTACTAGTACTATCACGATCACAACTACTATTAAGAGGATCCAGCATGGCTAAACCAAAGCTGTGGCGATCCTTCGGTCTGACAGCCATCCGCTCGCCCTGCTCCTTTCTGTGCCATCCCGCGCGGCTTTGCACTTGCTTTCGTGGCTCCGCGGGCTACCGCGTCGGTTTGGGTTCTGGGTTTTGTGGTGTCCGACAAGAAGACAAATTTTTAAAAGACACGAAGACTCCAAAGTAACAAAACGTCTTTTAGCTTTAGGATGAAGTTGACAGCTATAAGTCCTAATACAACGCGAGAGCATTGGGATTGAAGCGAGAACTTCTGGGTCCGGAGCGGGACAGCCTGTGCCTTGAGCCCCTAGGCGGAAACCCCCGAAAAGAGACCCACAACTGAATTTCTTGCAAGGTCCGTCTGGCTTCACTTCGGGCTCAGTGCTACGACACTGAATTTCTTCAAACCCTCCCAATGAAGCCGTTGGACCTTCCCGCTTCGATGGCATCTGTCTGTCAGCAAGGCAGGCCGACGGCTGCGGGACTCCTTGGTGATGAGCCCAGGCTTGATGCTACATCACAGCATAGTTATCATAGGACACCGATATGAATTGCTCTAACAGTTATTATATGTTGTTACACCACTTAACCGACTTAACCTTTACCTCGGAGAGCTCGAGAATCCTTGCCTCGTGTCTCTTACACGAAAATGTAGAGTCAGGCCAAGCTCGGCTTAATAAAAAAAGTACGGCGCTCGCCAAAACAAGGGCCGCCAAAGGCACATCAGCAAGAAAGTTACTTGGGGGGGTGCATGCATACTTTTTTTCCGACGAGAGCTATGGCGTTGGTATGCAGCGCTGGTTCTGCAGTGGCCGAGTCCTTCGGACGGCGGCTACAGCCTGAAACAATGACAACCTTTCTGCCGGAGTTCTTGTTGCCGCAGCTGGTAGTTGGATCTCCTCCCTAGGACCATAGCTAACAGAACACAAGAGCCAATTATCATGACGGTAGATGAGCAATTACCCACGGCACAAAAACTACGGCAACACAGTGCAGCAGTTTAAGAGCACATATAGTGTTGAAGGCAATATAGTGCCTGGGTACGACATGCCGGGGAACACCGGTCAGTGAATCGGCAAGCGAGCTCCAAAAATGTTAACCTGAGGCCGCTCCTCTGAAATGATGCTGTGCACCGTATGATGAACCTGAACCAAAAGGCTAGCCTCAGTTTTGGAAGAGCAAGCAAGTTTATCCAGAGCTCTATCCGTTTAAGATGCTGTCAGGGCATTCGAGAACCCCGCAGTAGCTGCAGGATTGATGATAGCCATGCATCTTCCAAGCTACGAAGATCGTTTAAAAAGTCCCTGCGAGGGACTGGGCCACAGCCCCTTGGGCCCCACAAGGTTCATGCTTTAGCATGCTTGACCTTCTGAAGTCGCAGTCGGCGCTTCCTCTCACCGGCATCACAGAGGTGGCAGAAGAGGCAAGTCCGGCCTGTGACGCAACGGTTTTTGTGGAAGAAGGCACAGGGCCGACATTCACCTGTGGCGTGAGCACCAGACCCAATGCTTGGAAGCGCTTCCGAACCCAGAACTGGTGGCCCTGACTGGCAAGGCCTCGTAACGTTTCGGTGATCTGCAACCAAGTACGTCGGCGAAGTTGCTGAGATTTGTTGATCCTGAACCTGCGAGTGGAGCGAAGAAGCTTGCACTCTGCCGTGGTACTCTGCCACGAAGAACGGACCTCTGGCTCCTACGGGCGGTGGCGTGGCATAGTATGTCGTGCTGCAAGATGGTCTCGCCACAGTTGGTCGGTAGGGGCTTGCACCACTCTTCAGCGGAGTCCTGGGCTCTGCTGCCTTTGTCGCGTTTAAGGGTGCTGAAACCTGAGGCTTCTCCTCCTCATGGCCAGAACGTGGAGATGGCTCTGGTGTCTGCCAGGCATTGTCTTCGTCTCCGTGAGCGTCACCACATACGCTCCTGTCATCACCATGCTCGCTGACCGGGCATGAGCGTATGCCTCTGATGTCCTTGTACCACTGATGCAGTGAAGGTGAATCACTCAAGTCCACAAAGGTGTTCCGAACTCCCAGAAGATGGTCCTCTTTTCGATCGACATTGGTAAACGTTATAGGGTCCAACTCCTCGGTTGTGATCTTGGACACGACTTGCTGCACACGGTGTGCCAGGTTGGAGATCTGGGCTGCCATGGCGGATGGAACAGAGGCCAGCAGGTAAAGCACGCCTTTGAGAATCAAGTGAAATTCTCAGTCGCCCCCTTAAACCAAAATGGAGGCTTGCGACGCAGAAAGTGGCAGCACGTCCTGTCGCCACGACTCATGCCACGCTCAAGTACAGGAAGGACGTCACAACAGCTCTCACAGCGTTCACTTGAAAGACTTGATAGGCTGATAGGCAAACACTGTAAACTTGGACCAAGGAATGTCCCGATCAGAAACATGTATCGGAAACTCCTGCATCAAAATCCATGGACGGGAAACAAAAGGCCACTCGCCAAAGACGGCCCATGTGCAGCTCTCCACCAACCCCCGACCCCCGCCCCCTCCCCCCACAAATGCAGAACTTCAGCTATTCCGCGGCATCTAAAATTTCTGCGCAATTTAATGCTCAACTTTCTTCAATTTGGGTTCCAAGCTCACGTGAAGAAACTATGACCGACGGCGAGTTTGATGAAAGAAGCTTGTTAAGCTCAGCCGCATGAAACCGTCTGATGTGTACACCGCCAGCATTAAACCAAGAGCACACGCTTGTCAGGATCCGAGGCGAGAGGCCGACTGCGATCTTGTGGCTCCTGTCTACATGAGAGTTTCCGAAAATAGGGGACCCTAATATGGGTACCCCGGATAGTAGGATCCTTATTATAAGGACAGCAAATAAGGTACCCCCTATTTTCGGAAACTCCCACATCTGGCAGACCCAACATGTGAACCGCAAGAGTCTGCAGTTCCGGAACCAAATACCCTAAGTCCAGGGCCTTAGGTGAGATCTTGTGCTTTTGGTGCTTGGGGGATTCCAACAGCTCTGGACATGAAAAACGGGAGTCGGGGCTGCAGGGCCCGAGTGCACTTCAATTTACTGTCGAGTCATGCAAACTTCGGAGCGGCGTAAAGGGCATCGCACCCAAGCGTGCAGACGAACTCAGTTTGATAACTTCCGACCGCGACCTCCGAATTTACACCGTGGCTAAGGCTCTTTTAAGCCATTCTGGGACCCTGCCGGAGAGGATGTCAACCACTGGCATCACTGCAACTTCGGGACCGAGTACTGAAGCGTCCATCTCTAGTTCCGGCTTTCATTGTCATGTAACTGCGAGAGGGTCCCTGATATGAAAGAGCACAACTGCAACAAAAGGGTCCCTGATATGAAAGAGCATAAATTCCACACTAAAGTCCGACATGAAAGACTCATCTGAAAAAGGGTACTGCAAACTACTCACTGGCCAATCTGCCAATGCTTGCTGGCTTCTAGTTTTGTCGCCCCAAAACTCTCTAAACACCGGAACCCTGGTTGAACCCAGGCTCGAGTCCAAGAAGCCTCAACCTTCAACGGCCACCCGGGCCTGAGATCCTGCTCTGCCTCCGACGAGACCTCGGAGATCCTCCAGGAGCCGTAGCGGCGGCCTGGACTGTGATGTGGGAGTTTCCGAAAATGAGGGGTGCCGTATTCTGGAGGGTCCTTACAGTAAGGATCCTACTATTTAGGGTCCCTGCTGTCGGAAACCCCATGTAGACCCCCGAGTAAGGACTAACATGCAGATTCAAAGATTAAGGCCTTTGAGAAAAGGGGGCTTACCCACCAGTAGCTGAGCACTTCAGACCATGGAACAAAGAAGACTCGGGCTGAGTGCATCGTGTCAAGGAAAATGCGCTCTCACGGTACCTCATGAACCGGCATGGACATCAATCCATCTGCAAATGACTTGCAGTGCTGCCACTGATGCTTGAAACCTGCTTCTGCAAAGTGGCAGCTCGTAGAAAGCATGACCCCGCCAGATCTGCTGGAGATCGCGTGGGTACTGCCTGGGCAGAGGTGTTCAAGCACGAGGCGATTGAAAACGTAGAAGATCTTCCCCAAAGGCAGGGGCAGCCAAGTCAGGGTTCCGTTAAAGGGGTCTGTAAGGGTTACTACAAGGGATATCTATAAGGGTACCACAATATAGGTGCCAGCTTGGCAAAGACTTGTCCCTCTTCCATTCTACCCTCTGCTCTATAGGTGAGGAGATTTGCTTTCAATGATAGGCAGAAAGACGGACGCATGGACGGACGCCGAAGTCCCCACCCAAACCCTAAACCCTGATGAGCCCCAAAAATCCCTAAGCGCCGACTGTGCTGTGGACTACCCCCCAAACCCGAACCCCACACCCAAAACCCTATAAGCCCTTTCACCCTAAGCTCTGCGAACCCTAAAGGCCCTGAGCCCAAAAGCTTTTTTGCATCAGGGCTTGTGCAAGCGCCAGAGCCCGATACCCTTTTTGGAGCAGGCCTCGTTGTCCAGCAGCCCGGTTACAGCAAGGGCCCCCCTGTACCCCGATATCCTAAAACCCAAGCCCAATCCGAAATGCGAGCCCGAGTTTCGGTCGTGAGCCGCTGCGGAGTTGCCTGGATGTCTGCTTCAGGCTTCGTGGGGTAGGGATTCGTCACTGAAAACACAAACACTGTTCGACCCTTCCCTGCCTATTTACATCTTACAGACAGACGTTGTATGACACACACACACACATGCCATGCATGCATGCATGCATGCATACATACATACATACAGACATACATACATACACACGTAGACACACGCATGCACGCATCAGGCATGCACACATGAACACGCGCACACAGACATACAAATGATAGATGCAAACAAATTCATATACATGTACATATGCATTCGCCCCTGAACTTATACAGCGACATCCATATACAGATACATACAGACACACACACACACACATACGTGCACATACATACACAAGCATACATACATACCTACATACATACATACCTACATACATACACACATACATACATACGCAGGTGTGTATGCATCCTTGCACGTTTTTTGTGTGTATACACGTCTTGCTGTAGATCTGATGTTTATGTGGCTGTCTATATAGTCACACAGCTGCGTAACTACATAAAGCTGAGCAGCCATGAGCTTGATTTCCTTCTGTATTCTGTTATGTTCTGCAGTTGCCGAATTTTGTTGTTGGTGCCGCCCGTGTGTTGGTTTTCGTGTGGCAATCCGAAACTAACTAGCCCCACACACGACCCGTGGACTCCCTTAAACGTGACAGTCCCAAACAACACACCACGACACCCAAACGTAGTGGCGAGATCTCGGTGACAGGAGCGCTTCCACTTGTGCCGGAGAAGACGTTTTAAATGCTGCCTAGTTTCACAAATTTCTGTGTGTCCCGAAGAACACTTCGGAAAACAGGCTACGAGGCCACACGTGGCTTTGACAAGTTTCTGGCGCTTTGGGCACAAAGCAATGTGGCATCTAGGCTCGAGGATCAAAGGTGGGTCTGTACTTACAATGTTACACAGCGGCTGAGTCGAGTACAAAGGCGTCAGAATGCCGCTGGAGTCGGGGTGCAAGAAAACGAGTCCAGTTCTCGCAGCAGCAAGCACAATATATTGCCATTTCATGCAAGATGCTGCCGGCATCGGCTCGTCACAAGCGAGCACCTGACGAGAAGGAGGCACCTGCGTCCAGCCTTGCAGGCACACGTCGTCTGCGGAGTCAGCGAAGCACGAGTCATCAGCCTGACTGTCTGCTGTCGTCTCAAAATGGCCAGTCTCCTCAGTCACCGAACTCGGGGCCGATTCTCCAGATTTCAGCTGCGCCTGTGTTGTCCCGGTAGTCGTTTCCTCAAAAATGGCCTCGTCACAAACGGACACGTCACGAGACGGTGGCGCCTCTGTCAAGTCTTGCAGACACTTCACGTCTTCTGGGGAGTCACCAGACCACGAGTCGGCCTGACTGTCTAGTGGGGTCTCGAAGTGGCTGAAGTCCTCCATCGCTGCACTCGAGGCATCCGATCCGCCAGATGTCAGCTGCGACTGTGTCGCGGTAGTTGTGTCTTCAAGACTGGGTTCTTCTGACTCGGAACCTAGGGTCGTACATGACCCCGCTGGCAAGCAAAATGAGGCTGCCCGGTAGGTTGGACAAAGATCACATGTCTCCTTTGCTGCTTCTCCTAAAGCAGGCCTTTCTGGTTCCTCAGGGCTGAAAGCCTTCGGCAAAGGGAGCGGCTGATACTCGACAGCACTGTGCAAGTCGTAGTTCGGATATGCACTCGCTGGCTCCGGCAAGTGGTCTTCTTGGACTGTCCCACGATCTTCAGCTGGCAAGCCGTTCTCATTGCTGTCGAAGGGGTGTGTAGTCAAGCCAGACGCCGTGCGATGACCTCAGGCCAAGACACAACCACCTAACCCATGAAACGGCATAAAGCTGCGAAAACCCAACTAATCACGTTTTTATACTACATTTCTTACCAGCGGGCTTTCGTCCTCCTCTTCGGCTGCAAGGACAGGCATGACCAATCGGTCCTGAAGCGCAACGAACCCCAGGCAGAGGCTCGGGATCATCTTGCATCCTACAATGCCTTCGTACATCCGAGAAGCATAGAAACAAAGAACTCCCCCAAAAAAGACACTCGCAACCACAGGGCTGCAGTTGAAGCCCTACCCCAGGAGCAAAGGGAGCGCTTGCACCGCTTCGACATCTTCCAACCACCCCGCAAGAAGGACAACTTCTGAAGCAGCTACCTTGGACCCGGCCACTCTCTTTTAAACTTATGGCATTCACCAAGAGCGCATTGCACACTGCACCCCGATTCGGGCTCTGCATTGTAAGCTCCTAGTAAGAGCCGACAAACCTCAACGACAACAAATTAGTAGTGAAGCCATTAGAAATGCTCGACGTTCCTGCCCAGTTCATGCCCAGATGCTGCGTCTTCATGCACATCTTGCAATGTCGGCTGTTCCGCAGCCTCTTCCTTCCGAGTGGTGCACGACAATTCCTGTTTCGCTGTCTGACACAATAACGGGACGGGGGGTGCACAAATCAGATTCCCGGCCAACGTAAACTATGTACAGAGAGCGGAAGACAAGATGCGGTGCATGTTCTGAGGTGCTAGCCACATCGTGGCAGCTATCTTGCACTTTTCTTTGCGTGAGAGATCCGGGGCTTCCGGAAATGGGACACGGCTCTTGGATATGTTCGGCATCGAGAGCGTCTAGGTGGCCCGAGTCCAAGCTGGCATAATGTACTTGTCTGCGTGCCTCATTGCTTGTGAAATTCATGTCTCTGCAGAAATGTGTGCTGAATAAAACCTGCAAACACAAGTACATGGGAGGTGGGGGTGAATGCATGTACTTCTGCACTCTGGCCGTTCACCTATTTACCATTTATCCCGAACTTCTTGCCCGCACACGAACGGTAAACATGGAATCTGCAATCCAACATATCCTACTACATTCTCACAACCCGGGCCAACTCCAAATCATGCACCTGGCTGCAACGTCTATGCTGCTCCACCACGTCTTCTTCATCCTCCTCCTTTGAGTTTCAGGCTTTGCGCTCGCTGCAGGCGGAACTGGTTCTGGAAGCGCTTCCACTCGCACAAAATCGGGACAAGCGGGCGAGGCGTCATCTGAGCAATGAAAGTGCAAAAAAGCATCCACACAACCAGTTGAATATGTGCAACAAAAAATATCAGCTACTTTAAAGGGTTTGGGTTTTGTATTCGGCTCACTTTATGCAGCCCGCTTCGGAACTCCCTCAGAAGCCATGATCCCCTTGCAGTGCAGATCTTCCCCCCCTCGTCTGTGCAGCCCCCAGGAACCTCAAGTCTACTCGCACAGACCCTTTAGGGTTTAGGGTTTAGGGAAAAATAGGGTTTAGGGTTTAGGGTTTAGGGAAAAATAGGGTTTAGGGTTTAGGGTTTAGGGAAAAATAGGGTTTAGGGTTTAGGGTTTAGGGAGAATCTTTTGACCGGTCCTCCCAAAGCACTGCCAACTCTAAACCCCCAAAGACTCGAAGAGAGGACGGAAAGCCTCCATCTGAAGTTCTTGCGGCATGTTGCTTTTGCAACCCTAAACACCGCTTCCTTCGAGAGCTTTGGGGGCTTCCCATTATTTGGAGAACGAGCACTCCAAGGCAAGGCTCCACTCAACGCTTTGAAGCGGGGGAGGCGGGGTAGGACAAATAGAAACCAGTACGCAAAAAGTGCCAGACATTGTCATGTAGCACAACATAACGGAATATACGCTATCGAATTTAGATTTAGAGCGACCTCAGACGATCAGTGCGAATCTACTTGTAGATGAAAACAAACATTCACTGAGTGCGATAAACATCAAGCCCTCCATGCAGCATCTCAGGACGGTGCATAGAAAAAGTCTTCCGCACCTCAGCTGTAGTTGCTTCTCGCACAATGTGCCTATGGTCTCCACTGTAGTTCCTTTTGCAGGCTACCATGGCGACCTTTTTAAAGGAACTACGATGGAGACACAAGCTCATCAGGACTCACAGCACGATCCCCCAAGCCATTTTGGAATCTGGGGCTCTCATGAAGACCTGAAGTCTGCAACCGGTCATCAATCTAAAACGAGCCAGACACACACAACATCTGCTGCTGAATGGCAAGAGAGGGCGAAATGCATGTGGGATGGAAACAGCATTTCCTCGGTGATAGCCAGATCCTGAAGAGCTGCTGGCGTTCAGTGAAGAAAACCCCAGCTTCATGACTCCTCGCAGGTTACACCAGATTTGAAGTAAAGGTGCCGTGTGAAGCAGCTTACAAGTGCAAAGATAGCGTATCGATTCGTGGCAAGGATGCGCGGGATGTGACGGACGGGAGAGGCTCTAGATTCTCAGCCCGAGCACGGACTTAAACTCTCCGAGTGCTTGACAGCAGTCAGCGACTCCTATTCGTTTGCGGACAGTTCTTGGAATGGGTCACAAGGCCTTCATGAGACGTATGAATGGCAACTCATGGTTCGAGCTTCCATGATCCTAGAATTAGAAGCCGTGCAATAATACACAGGCCACCGTGGTCTAAAAGACTCATGCGGCTGTGTGCTTGTCGTTCAAGCACGGCAAGAGTTCTAGGCTGTTGAGACATTACAGGTACTGCTGAAGAAACCGCGACAGAAGCTTGAGCCAACATGACGGGATGACCTGCCAGGGTGGAACTAGTACAAATAGAATTGAAACTCTGATACTCCAGGGTGCTTGACTGAAGACCGAAGTAACATGATATGCCGCAAGATCTCCCCTTGGATGAGCGCCATCTCTCCTCCTCCGAAGAAGATGCCCTCTTCATGGAGCTGCCTGTCTTACGCCCCGCCGCGCCCGCACGAGATCCCCTTTGATGTACAACGGGATGTTCCCCCCCCCCCGCCGGCTCAACAAAACAAGCAAAGAACAAGACTTAGAAGAACGACTGCAAATTCCATCACAGCGCGTGGACTCCGACCTTTTCCCGGTGTCCCAAAGTTCCCTGCACCCCTGAACGGTGGCTGTGGGGAAGACTTTGCATGGCCTCTGGTCTATGTTGCGCTTTCAGTGTTCGTCTATAGACGGTGTGATTTGGGCTCTATTGGTTCCGGGTGCAACCCCGCGGTGGGCTCACGGAGTTGCGCTGTCCCCAACCTACAAGCATCTGAGGGATCAAACTGAGTGTCTTGGAGCAGCCACGAGGGTACAACGAGACTTCATTTATCCTTTTGGTTAGGCTCGTTGGATCGTACCTAGACCTGGATGCAGTGCAAGCAGGCCTTGATCCATGCTGCCGCTTTCCGGATGGACGATGACGAAGTTTTACCAAGGCTAGATGGCCTGTTTTCTAACGGTGCTGCAAGTGTCCGTGCTAAGTTTGTCCGGCGGTGGTGCTTTGGCAATCATCTACAAATACTTCAATATAAAACGAGACATTTTCTCTTCATAGTGACTAGGACTGAGAAAGACCAGGTACCGTATCTGCCTCTCGATTGAGCCGGAGTTGCAGCAAGCAGCCGCCGTGTTGCAAAACGGCGTTCCGTTTGCTTCCAAGCTCACTCCCTTGTGTTCCATAGCCAGCTCAAGCAGTATGCCAAGCTTCTCTGATTACAAAAGCAGTCATATTCTTACACCACAAACCCCATCTAAAGACGTTAAGCTCCACCGTATTACGCTGGGAAAGTGTTGGCGCACTTCGCATGAACTGCTGCAGCGTGTCCTGCAGGCATGTGCACAATCACGTGCCAGCCTCGTGTGACCCCTGGAGCAGGCTGTCTGCACGCTTGTCCCACTCGAAAGGCTTCCCAGTATCCAAGCTAAGAGCCGTAGACCGAAAGCCCTAGACTCTCTAGACCTTGACGTGGCCTCGACAATATGTGCCTGCCTCACAACAGCAGGAGACAACCTCACCAAAGAAACTGCGAAAGTCTGAATATGTCAATGCGCGTGTGGGATTCTCGTGGTGGCTTGTTCAGAGTGTCATCATCTTGCCACCGTTCATGATACGAGTTTCGCGATGCAGCTTGCTTTTTTTGGGGGGCAAACAGCAAACCCTCCGAAACGCTCCGGCTATGTATTTCCGGGACAACTATGGTTGTGCTGGTGCCCACGATCGTTTTTGGTTGGTACACCGTACAAGGAAGCACCAGCGGTTCGATGATTCCTACAAGTACACATGTCGTGCATGGCCATGAGCAAACATACTTTCGTGGCAACCGTCTTCATCCCTCTCATTGCTGACACTCTGGTCTACGATTCATTCACAAGCTCGGAGATACACTGCCATTCCCACCGAAGTGTGGCAGCAAGCTAAATCTGACAACATGGGAAGCAAGCTGCAATTCTTCATCCAGCTCAAACTCTGGACCCAAAAAATTGGCCCCTGGGCAGAAAGCTGACCGCTCACGACCTGCAAAGCACCGCATTTGGCTTCGACAAAGTTTCGGCATGTGCATACAGGATGCTGTCGTCAACCTGTTGGGCGATGCAAACAAACAGCTGCAGTCATCAAAGGATTCCGGACGCCAGCATCATGGGCCGCTGCTTGTGAGCGGGAAAATTCAGCTGCTAGCTGCAGGGCCTACGTACGAAATACCCGAAGATCGGCCTGAGGCTGTCTTTTATCATTGACGACCACCGACGGTGACTGTGCAGACTGTACACTGTTCAGTTCGACGAGCACTACATCGAGAACCACAACAAGCACCAGCAAAGGACACCGTTAAAAACATCCGGCAGTGATGACGCGACGAACACAAGTAGCACCAGAACTAGGCCCACACCTGCTAAGGCTGCTAAGATTACCTACTACAACAACGACACGTGTTACTACTGCCGCTGCTGCTGCTGCTGCTGCTGCTGCTGCCACTACTGCTACTACTCCTACGCTACTACTACTACTACTACTACTACTACTACTACTACTACTACTACTACTACTACTACCACCCCCACCTACTACTGCTGCTGCTGCACCACGTCACACTCCTCGAAATCGGCTCATGCTGCTCCCAGAGTTTCTGACTGCTCCTTCTACCTCACTCAGTGTCACCCTGGGGACCAACAGGACTTTGGCACGCTGGCGGCAGCTGTTGTCCATGTTCATAAAAAAACATTGCAATAATTGGCTGTAACATGACGCTATAACTGTTCATGTTGCTGCTGAACGAATACCACCACCACCACCGCCACCACCACCACCACCACCACCACCACCACCACCACCGCTACCAGAATCACCGCATCACAGCCATCTCCCCATCAAATCAGCACAACCACCGCCACCGCCACAGGACTGGCTCTAACGGCTGCAAGGATGTCGGCGGGCGACGACGACTATGCTGGTCTACACCGAGAACAACGACGAAGACGCCGAAGCCTATCCTGCGGCGTTACCTCACAAACTGGTCCTGATACTTGCCGACGCCTTCAACAGCTCTAAGAGAAGCAATCTAAGGGCCGTCGCTCTTGGAATCTCAGGCTATGAAGGCTAGGAGCTAGGAACCTTCAAACCAGTACGAGCGCGTTGACATGTATGACTGAACACGAGCTTTCAGACCTAACTTGGACCTGTGTGAAGCAAGCCAAACCAAGGGCGCTAAAAGCGAACCTCACACGGCTGCGCGTGAGCCTGCCTCGGCATGTTTAATCTCTGAGCCGATCTCTTTCAGCATGAAAGTTGCGGGTGTTTTAGGGATGAGTTGGATGAGCGAGTTCGCTGAACCTCATTTTGACAAGCTTATGGGGCATCGGTTTACCCGTGATTTGCGGAATCCGAACTGTTGCCGAAGTGCTCACCAAAACTGTTCAGGCAAGTTGAGAATCAGAAAGGCATCACATCGACACCGCGCTGGCTGCAGAACGACAAATCCTAGTAGAAGTGCAGACCCCCTTAACCTAAAGACGAGGTGTCGAACCCTCTGCCCTGCCTGTTGTAGGGGCCTTAACAATTAGAATAGGGTTTTGGGGGATCCTCATTGTAGTTACAGTATCATATACCCACCTGGGCTTGGAATCCGGCGAGCGCGACCGATGCAATCTTTCGCTGAACTGCACAGTCTTCTTCGTGACGGGATCCTGCAGCAAGAGACGCCGGATCACGATTTCGCAGTGCTGGTTGCAACGGAAACCACATCCCTCCGTCCTAATGAACACGCCATGCAGTAATAATTGGAAAAGGGTGTTGGGGTATTCTAACGTCATCATGTTCAAGAAGCCGACATGACAGGACAGCATTAGGATGTGCTTGTGGGGCGTGTATACTTGAAACAAACCCTATAAACTGACGCCTCGTGCAGCCCCAGAGCACCCTCCAACTAAGGTACGTGCGCCAAAAGCAGAACTCCCACTCCGGTCCGTTGCAAACAGCTATAGGACGGCTGGGATTTATGCTCCCGTTCTCGGACAAGCCATATGGGGTCTCTCGAGGGTTCAGGTTCTAGGGCTCTGAGGGTTTAGGCTTTCAACCCTCGCAATCCGGGCGGGAAGTCTGAGTACGCATGACTAGGCGGTGGCCCCTTGGCACCTAAGTATGCCTCTGTGTGACAGTACATGTATATTCATATGTTCCTGCATGCATACACATACAAATAGACAGATGTTCAAGGCAAGCATGCAAATAAGCCCGAATCAGTTCGAGCAGTATCTTGCGTGGCATTGCCTGACAGGATTAGATTAGACTTGGGATTGGGCGCCAATGTTGCCCGTGCAGGAAAATGTAGATCTTTTGCCGGCCTCGGTGGAAGTTCTGTCACGCTTCCATCAACCCTTCAACATCGCTCCTTCACGAGCACAGGCTCGTGCGTGTCCCACATGGGGACATATCGAACTTTCAAGCCGCCGCGAGGAATGATCCTGGGAGCAAAGGGCTCGGGGTTCACAGGCTTCGGGTGCATCTCACCAGTCTCACCAGGTGCTTGCAAGAGCTTGGAACGGAAGTCCGAAAGCTCGAATATGTGCATAATATATATATATATATACACACACACACATACATACATACATACATACATACATACATACATACATACACACATACACTTATATACCTACGCATACAGGCATACACACCTACATAAGCATACATGTTTACGTACATACACGAAGACATGTATGCATGCATACATACGTACATACATACACACATATACACAAATGCATACACACACATATATATATATATATACATATCTGTTTGTGTGTGTGTATATATATATATATATATATACATATGCACGCAAACCCTTCTAGTTGGTGCAATCGTCCCTGACTCCCTACCCTTTGTCCCGAAGCCTACCCTGCAGCCTCCAACTGAAGAGCCAAAGCCAACAAGAAGGGCCTGGTTCCAACCAGAAGGCCCTGGTTTGTGCTCTAATCAGATTTGAAATCTTTGAGCTTCAGAGCATTGAACGGTACATGGATACTGTGGCTTTCTACGAACCATCGTAGTGTTCTTATTTATCTGCTTTTGTGTTGACAGTGGACCGCCACCCACGGCAAGGAGCCGTGTGAAATTAATCGTCGAATGAACCAACAACGGGATTTGAGGAACTTGTGTTTAGGTTTCGAGATTAGGAAATTCAGGAACTAAGCTGTTTCGATGCGGGTATCGAGTGTAGGATATTGTGCGCCGGAAATCGTTGTCACCTGAAAAACGACGGCATCTTGGTGATTTCCTGCTCAAGTCAACCTGAGACCCACCCATTATTCCGCACTTCAATCTAACAGTTCTTGCTTTTGCCAAGGCCTCCAAGAAGGCCTATTGAGTGCAGTCAGTAGCTCTCTGTTCGTACAGGTAGGGATAGCTATGAATCCGAAGGTGTGCAATGACTCCATGCCAAGAAGCTGTTAAAATGACACAGCCACGCGGAAAGCTCACGGATGCTAAGGCGGATGCTCGGCAAGCTTTCCCTCCGCGAAGAGTCGGTTCCTTAGGACGGCAGAGTCGTAGATGACCCTGTGGAGCAAAGCAGCCCTTTAGAACCCCACCCCCAACACCACCAACAACAACAGCTGGCAGCAGCAGCGGCAGCAGCAACCAACAAGAAGTATAAAGCTCCTTTGATAGAGAGTCTCAGAAGGTACGTTCCTAGGAAGCAATGATCCCGCTTGACACAGGGTTGTAATGTAACATGTATCTACTTTAGGTTGGACTCCTGGACTTCACCATCCGAGTGTGGAGAACGTGCAGAATGAGCTGTGCATACTGCCAATGGGTGGCAGGGACGAAGCAGCGAAGAAAAAACCGTGGGATATGGCCATGGGGTCAGTGTTCCCTTTCTCATCGACACAAGCGTAAACACTGAGTAGCTTCAAGGGGGGGGGGGGTCGTGCAAGCATTCAGGAATCAGAGGCTCAATTACTCTGTTTAGTGAGGAGAGACCCCAATCAGCAGCTCACGGTGCCTACCAATCCTTTTCATGCCAGAATACTGCTGTCGTTGAACCAGATCCAACCACCCTGTGCATGGATCAAGTTGCGTCCGCTTAGTGCCGTCGTGTTTGAGCACATCCTCTGCTCACCAAAGCTGCTACGATGAGCTATACACTAACATGCATGACACACACACACACACATCCACAAATCAACATCCACCCGCGAGAGGTGACTAACTCATGCCACGCCGCCAAAACGCTCGAAAGTACTGGCAGGAAAGCCGAAGCCATAAATCCTAGACCCTAAACCGCCTAAACCCTTTGTCAGCACGGACTGAGGCGCCGGCCAGTGCCCACGAAACTCGCAGCCCCTAAACCCTAAAGCCGAAACCCTCAAACCTTAACCCTTGAATCTAGAATAAGAGGGTTGATGGATTGATCCGAGGAAGATCCGACGAGCAGAGTTAAGACATAGTTAAGGACCGTCAGAATGGTATACTAATCATTCAAGCTTCTATAGTAAATTTTCCCAGCAGATTTGGTGAAGTGCCCAAAGCTGAGACCCCGTTTCACTACTGGAAACCCTTTTTCCTACTCAGACGCGGACCACTCCTTCGATTCGATGTGCTTCTTGTGCCAGGCCGTAAGGTCCATGGAGGCTGGAGGCTCGAAGCCTCGCCGGCTCTTGGGATCAGGATCTGGGGCGTAGGTTTTGGCGTCCAGCTTCGGCCTTAAGGTGGGGTTTAGGGATTTAAGGGTTTAGGGTTTACAGTTTAGAGTTTAGGGGATTGGGGTTTCTTCCCTCTCACATGGCAAGGGCGAAAGGGCTTGGGCCTTAGGGTTCAACAATAGGACGGGTTCATGAGACTTAGGTCAGGTTTCAAGCCTCCGGCAACTATGACGGTTCTCAATCCTATACACTTCCTGTGTAGCATGAGAAGTAGGCAGCAACCTAGAATTCCTGTACAACACTCACCGTTGGGATTGTTTTGGCGGACTGGCGTTGAAGTGCAGTGGCTTTCGAAACCTTTATCCCTCAAGCCTACGAGCACTACAAGCCAGACTGCGAGCATCTGGCACGTCCAGCCCAAGTGAAAGGCCTAGCATTGGTAAGCGAGACTACGAAAGTAAGACTGGGAAGAAAAGTATCACGTGAATAAGAACGGTCATCAAAAGACTACTTAGAGTCATACTGAAAAAGAATGGCCTCAGAGATTTAATCCACCAACAAACGGGTTTCAGTGTCGGACCTTCAGCACAGATCAGGTCGCTAACTATGTTATACTGTTATGCACCACCTGGATGATATGGGCACGGTCTTACTGACCATTCCGACTTCCAAACTACCTGGACCCTAGAGAACCTACCATTTTAGGGGTCCCGAATATGATTTCTTTATGTCAGTCCTTGAAAAGGTAGGTTATTTGGGGTTAAGGAGGCTCCAGCAGTGCTTCTGTCTGGGGCCTCAGGGACTTCTGGTCCTAGGAGTGTGGGTGTCCGGAATCTTAGTAGCCTAGGGTTTAGGGTTCAGGGTTTAGGGACGAGGCTTGTGTACAAAAAGCCTGCGTGTCAAGGGTTGCAAGCATGCAAGCGCACAGGGTCTGGAGCTTTCGGGCTCTTGCTTGTCAGAACAAGACGATGCCAAACGTGGGGCTAGGTCGCACCACGGCGCCCACCCTAATCAGTGAGGAGACAGCGCGGTCAGAAGCCTACATCTCGTCAGGGCCCTTACTTCCGGTGTCCAAGACAACCTTATGCCCCAATACCCAAAAATCAAGTGTCTTGGAGCCCGTGCCGTCTGGCAAACGATGCCAAACCCTGAGGGCTACCCGGCTACCCACGGTGTCACAGCTTACGGGCTTTTTTTGAGGGTTCTTTTAAAAGTGCAATGACTCTTTTTGGAGGGTTTGGAGTACTGGGCTCTGGGGTTGGCATGGGGAATTTACAGCTTGGCGAGCCTGGCGAGGCTTCTGACCCTTTGGGTTCGAGTGTTTATACGTTCGGCTGTCTGCAAGAGGTGCGGAAAACTGCGGCAGCATTAACATCAACGGATGACATATAGAGGTGCTGAAGAAGCAAAGAGGAACGCAATAATTGCAATTTCACGTAGAAAGGACAGACTAGCAGATAGCTATGGAGGAGATTACTGTATTGCTCCCCCTTTGCGATCCGAAGCTTGACTTGTGAGCTATCAGACTTCACGACACTTTAAAACCAGTTCGGAAGTTCGGCTCGTTTCGTGGAGATGAGATATTAAAGCTTGTAATGTTGGGTTTTGCTGCTGGATTTTTTCCTAGGGTTGTAGAGGCATGGGTTGAGGCTTGCTGGAAGCAGTGCATGCAGTAGAGTTGAGTGCTTTGGGTGGCATGAGTCTGCTTTGTGGGCAACTCTTCAAACGGGGGGAAGCAAGGTGCCAGGCAGCCCTCCCCCGTCTTCGTCTGTGGGTCTAAACACGATCCCAGCAGCGCCGAGAAGGGGTTGTAGTATGCCTGGCATTGACAGGAAGGGATCGAGGATTCAGATTCGAGGTTTGGCCCTAGATATCTGAGCTTTAGGCTTCAGCTTCTTGAAGGTTTTAAGGTGCAGCGGGAGGGAGCCAATACGAGTGTGTGAAATCGAAAGGGCTGTGAATTCGCTGGTAACTAGTACAAGGGTAGGCGAGCATAGAGTGCAGCAGATATTATAGAGTCATCGAGCATGTGCCGTGACTTTGAACTCGATGTATGTCTAAGGCCAATCTCCATCATTCAGCACTTGGATTGGGCCACTTTCTTGGGTGCCTTCAGACCGCCTTCTGAAGTTCTGGCCCCCAGCAGGCTCAGCCCTGTGTAGAAAGCATTTCGGGTTCCGGAAAGCAAGAGCTACGTCAATCTTTCAGCTTCTGTGAAACCACGAATCATCCCAATATTCCAGACTTGCCCTGATTGATCACGTCCTGGGTTTAGAGGCCCTAGATGGTTCTTCACCTTATCCTCTTGATGCGCGCAAGCCCTCTTTCAACTGAACAGAGGTGCGCCGAGTGGCCCAAACCATCTTGTCCGCATCATCGGACAGCTCTGCAGGACTCAGCCTGATTGTCTCAGTCGTTTACGACAGTGACCAGAGAAAGCAAAATAGCAGTAGTGGCAACGTGTGCTTAGATAGGTAGGCAATAGGTAGATAGATAGATCGATCTATCTTGCCACGAATAATTAAATAACAATTCGTCATTATGCCCATAGTTACAACCCCAGACGATGCCCTGGAGAGTTTTACGTTTCGGCCCGTTCGGTTAACAACACACAAGTGAAGCGACCCGTGGAACCCGACTCCCGCAAACCTCCTGCCAACTTCACCTGCACAAACTCCAAACCTACGAGCAACCATCATGGGATTCCAGAAAGTCTTGGGCCCTGAGACCTTGCGATCCCGGGGTACCCCAAACATTTCAGAACTACCCTGACTCCCTTTACTCCCCTCTCTCACTGCCCTAAAGCCTGCCACCCTTTCTGAGTTCTGAGAACCCCAAACGCCCCCCCCCCCCCCCCCCCCCGCCACCCTTGGCCTTTTGGAAATAATAGACAGAGCCCCATAATTATATCCGTTATTAGGAATTATTTAAGAAGGTCGACTAGCCGGTCTGTTTATTCTTTTGGGGGAACCATGAAAAAGGACAAGGCTGCCCCCCCCTCCCACCACACAGAGCTCTGGATCTCCGGCAGATTTTGGGAGCCTCGAAGATCCTCCTCTGCTGGCCTGGCAGGTGAAACAGGTGCTCAGGAAGTCAGATGTTCAGGGTGTAGGGCAGTGTAGGGCTTATAGGGTTTATGGTTTATGGGTGCTGAAGTTCTTGCCACAAACTCTCGTTTAAGCGCTTTCGACACCCTTTTCCCACTACAGTGGAGCACAGCTTGCTCGCGCTCACACAAGTCGGTGACCATGGGCTGTGATGCGGCTCGAGCAAGCCTAGAAGAACCCGAGGCTTGCGCCCTACTGCCAAGCCAACCTGCCACAGTAGAGTAAGGTTTTGAGGATATATGTTCTAGTACAGGAATGTAGGGGCCACCAAGGGCCAGTATTTCAAATTTTGATCGTGCCGTTCAAGCCTGTCGGAAAGCCCAGCGAAAGTTCACAGCTAGAAGTCACGGTGCAGGGACACAAGAACGGTTCCTAAATCTTAAGATGTGTATGATGCCCGTGTCGAGGTATCCGGTAGTGCAGACTTACTCTAACTTTCAACCTGTCATTCCTCCGTCTTTGGATTTCAGCCTCGGGCCTTCATGTTCCAAGAGTCCTTGCCAATGTTAAAGCTGTTCTACTGCGTGGCGCCGGAGCTTCCCGAAAGGGAGACCTCCTTCTCCCATCTAACGGATCAGGCGGTTTCCAAGACCGACGAAATCAATGCTCGGCTTCGGAAATTCCTTTATCCGAAGCCCGAGAATCTTCAGGGATGCTGGACCCTTGCTGAGCTTTCTTCCTGATGGCGGTGGGCTCCGTCGCTCGAGAATCCTGAGTTCGGCAACCAGCAGCACCACGTTCACCACGACACTGTCGTGCATGGGAATCTGCAAGCGGGGAGGTCTCACCGCTTCTCATACCAGCTACGAATACTCTGCTGCAAGGGCACGGGTGGCGCGGCCTCCTCGGCCTTCTTCTTTGAGGAAAATGCCTGGAGACCAGTGTGCGGTACATGGGGAACGTAAACAAACAAAACGCAAAAAAAAACAAGCAAGCATGTGCATGTATGTGTGGGCGTATATAGATATATACATATGCACATACATACATATTATATAAGAATACATGTATATATTTATACATATTCTTTATGTGTATACATATGTATGTTGGTGTGTGTTTACTTGCTCAAAGTTACAGATCCATGTGTGATCCTACCGGGAATACGGTGAGGCTCAAAAACGCGTCGGATTCTCCAAGTCCATGGGTTCTTGTGGGTTATTTTGGGCCGGCTGGGCCAGGAGACCTTGCAAATCATCCGGAGGATCTGGCGCAAGAAACTGGAGCTCGCGAGACTACTTGCTAGGAGCAACATGGCCGCATCTCATGCTGCAGTATATCTGGAAGACTTGTTGTCCTGATACTCCTCATGTTCATATTCTCCGCAACAGACCAAAGGTCAAGACATCTTGTAGTCTAAGTTCTACTTAGCCGTATCTTCCACGGTAATCATTCCCCGGGCACCCCAGAACTACATGCCGGAGAAACCGGTGCGCGTGCAGTGTAGCGCTCAGAACGCAACTTGCTCTCGTCCTGCATTCCCACAAACGAACCCATTGTCAATCCGCAAAATCATAACCCTATGATTCTAAATCACACTAAACATTACAGACAATTCCACTACCTGCTTCGAAATTCTAGGCTCTTGTGCTCCTTCCTCACTGAACGAGGGCAGTGCGACGGCTCAAGCAACTTCTACAGCAGAGCACGATGGCATGTGTGTCTCAACCGGGAATGGTCTATGTCGGCAAGTTGACACAGCTTAGGTCCTAGGTCCCAAAGTGCCTAAGTTTCAAGGCTTCGGGCTGAGGGGTTTTGGTCCGAGAGAACAATCGTGCCTGACAGAGACAGCTTCAAGCAGTGTTAGCTGGGGAACCTTTCAGCCCCGAACCGTGGACAACGTCGTCCGAAAAGCATCAGAGCCTGGAACCCTAAACCAGGCACCTTAGCTACCGTATTCACTGCCGTAGCTACTGTATTCAAACTCCAACGGTGTTTTCGGCGCAAGACAGGGCTATTGACTGCTTGGTCACACATAAATTACTATCTGTTCTTTGCTATGATTAGCGTTCTGATTGTTATTGCTTCTGTCGGTCGTTGGCTTGGTAGTGCTTGTAGGCGAAGAGGCAGCCCAAAAGGGCAAAGAAGAGCATGGGCGCGACCTGAGCAAGAGACGGTAGAATTGTCGCAACAGCTTGGGCAAATCTACATGAAGCTCCTGAGGCTCAAGTTGGCCCCAAGATGCGATGCTGCAGGGTAAGGCTTTAGGATAAGGGACTTCTGCGATCTGCCGTGGTCCTGTTGAACAGCAAATCTTTGCTGTTGACACCAATGCACGGAGAAATGTCGCTGAGCATTGCTGGGGCACGGGCTTCCTGCAGCGGGCTAGAACCTGCCCAGTTGTTGCCGTGTGTCTTACAAGTCTGAGCTTCCTTATCTTCAAGCGCAAGACATGAAGCACATCCTAAACCCTAAAGGGCTCTGAATCCAGAAGCCTATAAGCCCTGCTGAACCCCGCAGACCGAAGCCTAATAGAAAAATGGAACATCAACATCATCGTCCCGCCGCGCCGGGTTGTAGGCCCGACATCGTATCCCAACATAACTGTGCGCTTACCCCCCAAAATCAGAAATCACCCAACGCCCTGCGACTGAAAGCTTGTTGTGCAGCTTGAGACTTGAGACTTTGGATGGTTTCAACTAGCAGGTGGGTAGTTCGACGAAACGGCCAGGCGACGCTTTGATGAGTTGCAGGTTGGGGAGGCTCCATTCTTGAAATGTCTCCAGCACCGATACTTTACTGCAGGGGATTAGAGTAGGGTTTTGGGGCCCATTATGCTAGACTTATGATAAGGAACCACCAAAATAGTCCTGGTAATTATTTGGGCCCCTACATTGATGCACTCAGGCTTCGCCAGCATCCGAAGACCCCACCCTTTGCCACTGTGCACCCTTGCATGGACTGCACCAGAATCCACCACTAGAACCGGTTATATCAAGCAATCCCAACTTAGGACCTGTGAAGGGAACCCTACTATAGAACTCTGTAGTACCCTTAAAGGGGATCCCATTATGCGTAGAACCCTGTAGTACCTTTCAGGGTACTGCACTACTACAAAGCACAAGCTCTCAGCTCCTCAACTGCAGGACCGCGCACACACACACACACACACCAAACTAGCTTGACAATCAGAGATTCATGGGGTCCTGCCGCCCTGCCTTGCATGCCTGCTGCGCCTTGCCCACTGTATCTGTGCTGGCTTCGTGCGCGGGGCCCTGTACCGCCAACCTCGACGACTGCAAAGCGTCGGTGTTTCGGCATTCGAGGTGGCCAAAAGCAATGTGCGGAGGAAGTTCAAGCTTTCACACCCCAAACCTGGGTTCCCACACGACTCAAGATTTTGGGCCACACTTGGTGTTGAAGGCATTGAGAGGCCGAAGAATGCCAAGGTAACCCCGGCTGGTTGCTACCGACATCCAAAACTACCAGGCTACCAGCTAGGACCTCTTTGAACCTAAGCGCAGCGTAAGCCTGAATAGGAGTCGCCCAATTTCAAAACTGGGGCAGCTTAAGGAGGCAAAAGGGGGGCATCGGATTGCCGCGCTACGCCGATGGCTTCGAGTGTTACTTGAACTGGTGAGTCTGAGTGAAAGGTTGATGAAGGCCAAAGGTGTTTTGCGGGAGGGAGTTAAAGCTGGAGAGCATCGAGTTCTACTCTAAGACAGCTCCGCTTGTCCTGTATCGCCTGCCGAGCTAGACTGGCACAGCATGCCTTCTACAAAAGAATGACTTCTTGTGTATCCTGGTAGAGAATCTTTTAATCTGACTATCGATCTCCATAGTTCAAACATGTTGGTCAACAATGAAAACATGAACAAGTCTTAAGACGCTGTATACTGTATACAAGGTGATAGGAGGTAGCTTAAGATGCAAGATTTGATAGAGGTGATTACGTTCCAGCTTTGATTCTACATGACACTTCGAAGTGTTGATGTAAAGCAGTATCAGCATGTCTTCTGATGACTAAGGCGGTTGCTGGATAGTTGTAGAGCTTTGCGCGGGCCGCTTCGGAAAGGCCCTGGCCTGGTTGAGTCAAAGGGGCTTGATGGGGCTTCAACTCAAACTCCCTCAAGACAGCCACGGATTCCACCGACGTGTGGTTTAGGGCTTCAGGCTTGATGGGGTTCTACGGGGTTCAATCGGTGTCGGCAAAGGTACTCAAAGGGTTTCGGGCTTGACGTGTCGCAGTTTTGGGGAAGGGTGGACACAGGAGTCGGGATCCAAGTCCCAGACCCAGCACCCGGAGCACACACCACTTCCCAACATCGAACTGTCTGGGGGAACGAAACTTCGGTTCAATGTGCAAAAACTGCGCAGGGATGAAGAGCGAATGTTCAACACAGGCATCCTGCCAAGGCCGAATATAGGAGCCTCGATAATTGGAATAGCTTTTCGGGGTACATTACCCAGGGCCTCCGGTTACCCAGAATCCGGGTAACCAGTTTGGTAACCCAGAATCCAGGTTACCAGGCCCCAACAACCAAAATAGCGGGAACCAGTTCCAAGCCCACCCCGTGGCCGTTGTGGAATATGGGTTTTCTACTTCTGCACTCAGTTTGGCTATGTTTCGTCGTGTTGCACTGTGTTTCCGCGCATTTTTGAGTCATAAGATGCCTTGTTTCAACAGATTGGGTCAAGAAGGTTGGTTCTGTTGGACAGATTAAGTGGCATATTTCGGTTGGGTTCTTGTTAGTTTTCAATCTTTCGTCTGCGCATGTTGTACATGTTTCTTGTGAGTGTCCATCTGTGAGAAATTGTCATTACCGTTGTAATGTTTGTCGTCGGTGTGTTTGTGTTTTCTCGTTCCATGGCTGAGAATTTGCAGACTTCGGATGAGTCCATGGAAGTTTGACAGAACACCTCATGCTCGTTAACTGGGTTCAAGTTTTCTCAGCACGTGCATTTAGGCTCCGAAGCATCTTAAATCTTAATCTTGGTGTCCTGTGGATGTGAGGTTCCTGTGCTAGCTACTGTTATGTCAGCGCTCCCTGCTTCCGTCGGCGTCACGCCCACCCTCTATCCTCCATGATCACACCTGGAGCTTCTCGTTAAATGTCTGTTCGTCTAGGATACATGTTTGCATTTAAAACGTACACATGCACACCAACGCATGCACACACACTCACACACACACACACACATATGACATATGCGTACATATATATGGGCATGTATACGTGCATGTATGTGTGTATGTGTGTGTGTGTGTGCGTGTGTGTGTGTGTGTGCGTGTGTGTGTGTATGTGTGTATGTGTACGTATATATGTATGTATGTATGTATGTATGTATGTATGTATGTATGTACTTATGTATGTACATATGTATGTACGTATGTATGTGCGTATGCACGTAAGTCTGTCTCATGTATGTATGTATGTATGTATGTATGCATATATGCATGTAGGTATGTATGCATGCATGTATGTGTGTCGCGCACCTACGCATATGTGAGGTATCCCACACATACACACACATGTACACCCCATACCTTTACAATGGCCCTTATCATATACACCTTCTATGTATAAACAGTGATATAGTACCTTCGAATGCAAGTGTAGTTTGTGTACATATGTTTCTCTACTATGTGCATGCATCGCGCACGCCCCAAACCCTAGATTCCTCACATACTGTCAACTAGTCCTGATTGCCAATCCTCTGGGCATGTTCGCGTTTCAGACGCGGTATGGTTTTTGCGGGAAGCTTGAGTAAACAAACGCCAAAGTCCAACGCCAGACTTCCGAAAATCGAAACCAACATCCGTTGGCCCCTAGGCTCCAAAATCATTGACGGTAAGGGCTGTGGTGCTGGTTGCTGGTCAAACAGTCTATAGGAAATGGGGTGCTGATTCTGGTGATCCGTGAAAAGCCAAACAACCCCGTGGACAATCGAAAAGATGCCTCATGTTGAAACCGAAAGAACAGTTTCGACACCCACGATGTAGGGTTTCAGCTGCTCATGTGACCAATCCACATGAGTTGTCCGGTTGCGTCGCGGGACTGGGTTTAATGATGCCAGGTGCAGGTTACTCCTCTGCATGTAGGCGATTCATCGTGTTAGTATGGACAACGTGGAGACATCAAAGCCAAATCTTCTGCAAGAGTTCACAGAAACCAAAGTGATCGTCAGGGCGTTCGTCGTTTTGGGGTTATTTTCCAAGTTCAATCAAGGCAAAGAACTGACAGACCTGGCACGCGCAACAAAAAGCCAATCTGAATGCCGGACTGTTGGTACTTGTTCTGTGTGAAGGTTCAACAATGAAACTGTCACTGACATGTTATGCTGCGCATGCACAGTGAAATGCTGAAATTCCTATCCTGCAAAACTAGTTTTCGTAGGATCGCTCTAATCGAAGATGAGTTTTGCTTAGGCCTGTGTTTGTGCGGATGACTCTGCAATGTGGCTGTGTTTAGCATCCATGACCACAGTCAATTATGGAAGTGTCGTCCAGGATGCTTCTGGGGAGGGGGGTCGTCTAATTGCCAAGCACATCTCAAATGGCAAGAGGTCTTGCGATTGATTTTCAACTTCACCCGTGCCATTGGTATTTCGCCGACTGCCACAAAACGCAACTGAACTGACTTGCTAAGTATAGTGGTGGCGACAGCTGTTGGACCTGAACTGTTTCGGCATGTCCAAAGTACTTTCTGTCTTTGCGATAGCATCGAGACAATTACACAATACGTGCGAAGCTGCTGAACGGCAGTTATAAGCTGAGAGCAGCTTCAAAAAGCTCGTCACAAACTGTTTAGGGTTGTCTGGCATTGTCTGGTGGGCCGGTGGTAGTGTTGGCCGTGGGGGTGGACATGAACAATCCGGGAACCAACGTGACAATACGTGAAGACATGTATGGACCATGGAGGTAGACGGAGAAGCATTGTTACTTCTTAACCAGGAAGGTAGGAATCCTGGAAAGTGAGAAAGCTGTGTGTGCTCCAAGTGTATCAACATGGAGAGGGGCTAGGAGCCGGAGCCGGGTACGAAATGTTGTTTCTTGGATGTCCACGTTGGTTGGTGTAACTAGTGCATTTATGTTTGCTCGAGCTGTCGGTTTGTTCTTAGTAAGTGCTTTCCGCTTCACACATTGTAGATACCAAGTGCCCTGTGGTCTACATGCCCTTCACAGCCCGACACATACACAGGGTGCAGAATGCACAGTAAATGCTACCGCGGTTGAGACATGTTCAAATTTCCAACGACTCTCAGATAGCATGTTTCGTTTTCTCGGTCGTTTTTTAATGTTTGGGTCTCACACCGATCCAATTTCGTTTCAGCGCATCTCGTGCACTATCTTTTACTAAATTGAAGTGCAATGTCATGAGTCAGAACCGTATCATGCTGGATGCTGCGCCGTGCTCGGTTCGTGTTAGAGCATGTAGCTGCAGTTACACGTCCTCATGCATGTATTTCCCGCTGCATTGTGCACTCAAGAAGGGCATTTGCAACACACTCTACACAAATCTGTGCTCCTTTCATTGGTCGTACATGCTTTGTGGACAGAGGGCTTCGGAGCATGGTGGTTTGCACTCGAGATTTGGGGGCCGTGTTCACCCCAAAACTGCAAAACACATGAAATTTGGGCAATTTCGTCCTGCGGTGCCGGAAACTGAAGTTTTTGCGACACAGATGCATGACTTTCCCCACAGAAACGAAGGTATTCAAGCCTTCAACGCGACTTGTGCGCGAAAATCATTGCTCTTGGCCCCAAAACCGCGCGTGAAACTCAGGCCGGGAACCGTGAAATAGGGCCGGGAACCGTGAAATTCGAGCCGGGAACCGTGAAAAACGACAGGTCTCGTGAAACTCCGCTTGGTCCCAGCTGCCCGAATCCGCTGCCAACCAGAGCGTGCAAGACTGAACGCAAACGCCCATATTCACTCCGGCTTGAGCCTGCTCGCAGATTGGGACGAGACTCTGAACCACCTACTGAACAGCTTCTATCCTCAATTTTACATCTCAAACACCAGGAATACGACAAGGTTTCAGTGATGCGCTGTGCAAAGAGAGCCGAACCCCGGGTCAAAGCTCGAATCCGATCTCTTGATCCGGAATCATCTTTAGAGACGAGGCCTTTCCCCAGCACACACCCTTGCTATGACCTTCAAACTTGAACCCGGAAAAACCGAAACGCACAGAATGAGCAGGACAGGCAACTCCTGAACAAA